TTCCTCCTGAGGGATAGCCTTGATAGAGAATACAGCTCATTATCTTTAATGTGTAAGTTTTCACGACTTTCTCTAGTGAAAGTAGGGCAGAGATTATTTTAATATCAATCACAACATTAAAATCAAATGGTTGGTATTATAGAGCTCCATAATCTCCCATGAGAAGACCATTCAGAAGTGGAGCCTATGAATGTCTGCTGTGACGTTAAGTTTAGACTATAGCGTCAAAGAGGGGAGAACTTGGAATGGACAAGCACATGGCAGATTGTTCAGGGAAATCTTGTCCTGGGACATGATGTCAAAGCTGGCTTGCTTTTGGTTTGTGACAGACAACCTGAGATCGCCTGGAATCAGTGTCTGTTATTTCCTCCGTATGAAAAGGAAATATTACATGGGGTAGGTCTGTATTACCAGGTACAAGGAGATAATGAGATGCTCACAGGTAGTAATTGTCAGCAACAAACTTTACGCTGTTATTGTGAGTATAGTAGAGTGAATGTTGGACTTGGATTTTAAAAAGAGAGTTGAATGACAGCCTCAGCTTAAGTTTGAAGGGTGAATCCATCACTAGCTGTGTGACCTTGAGGAAGCCCTGTGAAACTTCTGGGCTTCGGTTTCCTCATCTTTCAAGTAGAAGTAAGAGTTCCTGGCCTTTTTATCTCAAGGGTATTGTGAAGGTCAAAGATAACTGGTGTGGAGTGGTTTGAAAAGTATGCTAGACTGAATAATTACATTACAGATATTTCAATGGAGTCTTCCATGTAAATTTGAAAGCCTTTAAAAAAAATACCTGACTTGTATGATTATAGTGTGGGCAAGTTTCTTAAATTATTATGCTTTAGTGTTTTCAACTAACAAATGGAATAATAGTATCTACCTCTAGGGTTATTATGGAAATTATAGGGCTTAGAAATTGTAACATCCTTAAGATGGTACTAGGTACATAATAAACTCCATTTAAGTATCAGTTAAATACGTACACTCTTTCATTCATGCATCCATTCATTCATTTATTTGTTCACATGTAATCTCAGTATGCTTCCTGCATGGTGTAGAAGAAAGAACCTTTAGTATAATTGAGCTGTTTATAGGATAAAACCAACAGAAAACACAGGATCTGCATCTGTTTTTTCTATGCTTCATACTCAGTTTAATTCTCCATCTTTAACTTTTAGAACCCTATTTCTTTCATTCCTTCTTCTCATTGATCACTTTTCTAGGCTTCTGTGTTTACTTCTCATCTTACAAAGGTGACCCCATTGAGATCAATGATGACCAGAGGATACTGTAACTCCAGGTGGGGAGGGCATCCAATTGGTCTTTAATAACCAAAGTGATTCAATTAACTTTTCATTCAATAAGATTGACTATAAATTTCTTCCAGATACAACAACTAGTATTCACCAAAGTAAAATCTCCCTGAAATTAGCAGTTCTAGGCTGCTGTAAGATGTTGTTCTCATTCATATTAAAATGCAAGAAAAATGTGGTCTTTCTGGCTGGTTCATACAAAATTAAAGCTTTCACTAAATTCCCATCACATCACTAAAACTGAGTTATGAATATAGGGCAGTGTTTTGAAAACTACAAAAATTTCTCTGTCAGAGTGCAGAGCATATTACTCTTTTTTTCTCCTATCTGCAATGACTTGTTAGTGTATGTCTCTAATGGATGTAATAGCTGAAAAATAGGATGAAATGCAGGTGTCTTCTGATGTTTCAGCACTGAAATAGTCGCATTTGCTTCTCTTCCTTACCCTGCCATTGATAGTAAAAGTATATGTGCTAAAATCAATACTTAGTACTCCAGGCTGATCCTGAATTAGAATGTTTTTATTTTAAATTTGTTAAATAGAAGAAAATACAAAGAAATTTCAGTTCTAAAATCTTCCATTTTTAAGCATGAACAAAGCAGTAAATTTTAAATCAGTTTTCTGGGAAAATTCTTTTCATGCTTTTATAACAAATATTTTGTGCAAGGTCTTTGGAAAACTTCCAACCCATCTGCTTCTACTCAGTTGTACGGACCATGATTTTCTATCAAATTTGTCAAAAGTCTGACTCTCTGTCTGAAAGTAGCACATTTGATCTAAATACCACATAATATAGAAATGAATGACTTCAATTGTCTTTATAGTTAATTAAAAACAACTTAGTGTCTCATTTATGGATATAAGCAAAGTGTTGATTTGTCTGTTTATTAGGATTTTTTATTAGACTACCTGTACTCTTGAGACAGAATGTAAGATGTATTTTGGTGTATTAGATGAGAAATATTGACCCTTTCAGCCTAATACCTGGATTCTTGCATTCTTGGTCAGAAACCAGTTTCTGTAATAATTAGTACTGAACGCCATCCCAAGATTTAATAAAAAATTCAAAGTGAACATAATAAAGTAAAACTTTCCATATTTTTTTCATTAATCTGATTTTCCCTCTCTTTGTACTACCCATTTTCTGGTTTAAGCTTCAGTTGCTTCTCATGCCAATAATTGAGACTACTTCCTACATAGATTCTGTCTCCATATTCCCCTCCCCTTCAGCCCACACAACATGCTCCTGCCAGGATAATCATCCTAAAACATAGACTCTGCTCATATTCCCCCAGGTACAAATGACTTCAAACTCTTCTATTTGCCAGTAGAACAAGGTGCCATCTCCCTGACCTGATTTCAAAGTTACTGTTTTAGTTCAAGCAGACTGGACTATTCACAGTTTTGTAAACATCTCCTTACTCTAGTGTTTCCTTGCCTTTCATTAATTAGGTTCCCTGCTGTTTATCTACCTTATCTCTCAATTCCTCCATTTTTATATGATGAAATCCTACCTAATTATCAAGTGATTGTTCACAAACCATGTTATATGGTTTTTGTTTCATCTTTTATTGCATAAGCTGTATTTTTACTTTTCTCATGCTCTGTGGAATGTTATGTTATGGCTATTCATGTTGTAGATTATGAAACTCTAGAAGACAGAAATCTATCTTAATTGTCTTTGCATAAAAACACAGTATCGTGAATAGTAGTGTTCATTCATGTGTTCACCTGTTTAAAAAGGGTTGAGCGCCTCAAGTTAGCTACTTTGCTAGGCCATGGGAATATAAAAGATTTACCACACACAACAAGGGCAGGTGAATGAATAGGCTCTGAAACCAGATAGTCATGGTATCAAATCCTGATTCTGCAATTTACTGTACCTTTGCATTAGGGGTCCTGCTTTGAGCCATGCAATAGAATTTGGGTACAATAACAATCTCATATTGTCAGGATTTATTGAAATATTCAATTTAAAATTTCTAGTAACTATGATCTATTTGGACATTAAATGAAAGCTATTTTTTCATCCTTTCTTTTTTCAATCTTCTTTCATGACATCCAGATTATCAGTGGATACATAGCCAAAGAAAAAGTTATGAAATAAGATAACTACTATAATAGACCTCTATATAATGTGATTTTGGAAGCAGAGAAATAGAATTTCTCCTGGTATTTTCTAAATACACACACATATATGGTATACATATGAGAGATTTTTCCTCCTCTTAGTTAATTTGGTAAAAGTGATTGTGAGCATTTTTATAAGTATTTTAACTTACTTTTTTCACTTAAAAGTTTTATAGAGATCCATCTATATTAGTGCCCACCCCACACACAAAACATACCTCATTCCTACCAAGGAATCCTATTCTATATGTGTATAATCATTTACTTGATTGTTTCTTATCTATAGACATTTTAGGATATTTTTAATTTTGTACTATTATTAAAATGCTTCATAGGAATCTGTAAGTATGTATACATCTATCTTTGCACCTATGTCAGTTCTATTATCATAGGGATTTTTACATGTAGAATTTGGGGGTCAAAGTCTGTTGGGCTGAAGTTGTTAGATTTAACACATAATGCCCAAACGCCCCCTGTTATGGACTGAATGTTTATAGTCCCCTAAAATTCTAATCTCCAATGTTATGCTGGGCCTTTGGGAGGTAATTAAGTCATTAGGGTGAAACCCTCATGAATGGGATTAGTGCCTTTATAAGAAGAGACAAAGCTTGTGCTCTCTCTCTCTGCTCTGTACCATGAAAGGTACGATAAGAACGCCATCTGCACCAGGAAGTAGGCTCTCTGGATTTGCCAGCTCCTTGATCTTGAACCTCCAAGCCTCCAGAACTATAAAAAATAAAAGTCTGCTGTTTAAGCATCCAGCCTATGGGAATTTGTTATAGCAGCCCAAACTGACTAAAACAGCCTCCAAAAATATTTTATGAATGATTTCTACAATCTCACAAAAGTGTCTATTTCCATATAGTTGGGATATCAATTTTTAAATATGCAAAATTATGAAACATTGAAATTAAATATTATTTTATTTTATTTTCCCTATTTAACTATGAGGTTGGGCATTTCCTTGGAATTTATTAACACATTCTTAAACTTGATTCATATCTTGTGGCAACTTTTCTATTGCACTGGCTCTTTGTTTTGTTCCCATTAATTGTAACATTAAGCCTCTGTCTACTACATATATTTATATATTTTTTCATTCTGGCTCTCTTTTGTCCTTCAGATTTGATTATGTGTCTTTTATTCCATGTGAGTTTTTTCTTTTTTTCACTAAGAGAAATCTGTCAAAATTTAGACTTATAGTTTCTCAATTTTACATCTTGATTAAGAATTCCCAACTCTAATATAAAAATATCCTTACAAATACCTAAAACAAACAAACAAAAGTCTTTAAAAAGCGGTCTTACTTTCTTCTCTGAGACAACTACATAGACAAACAGTGCAATATACATGGCAAAAGTTACCATACTTAATGAAATTACCAAATGTTGACACCTCATAACTACAAACTGTGATGAACAATAACCAAATACAGTGAAGGTGGGACTAATTAAAAGGAAGAGAATGAAAGGGCATATTTTGCAGACCACACAGAGTGCATTAAAAAACAATGTGCTACAGTTATGTAGGCCCAACTAATAATGTCTTAATTGAAACAGCAGAGTCTGGGAGGCACAAATGGCTGTGAAAATCCCAGGGGCCACGTTCTGCATTGATGATTGGCAGAGACAAGGAGCTACAAGCTACATTCACTCAGAAAAGTGATCCTTGCAGGATTCCAGATTTAATTGTGTCAGCACAGAAGAGCAGTGGCTCCAATGAACATTGCTGTTACTGACAGTCTGCTCGAAAGACATACAAACTAAATCACATCAACTGAAACCTGATGTATAGGCCTCGTAAGAAGAAAAGACACTTTCTACTTATCTGAAAGGTGGGAAACACAAATATGGACACATCAAGGAAATGCAATGTTGAGAATTTGTGAGAAATCAGTAAAGAGTCAGTGATGATTTGTATCATAAGTGAATAAGCATGGCATTAATGGATTCCTAAAGTAAATTAAAAGTTAAGTTATAAAATAAAACTGGTAAAGAATAGATTAAAGTTGGGACGCCTGGGAGGCTTAGTCGGTTGAGCATCCAACTTTCGCTTAGGTCATGATCTCGCGGTTTGTGGGTTCGAGCCCCGTGTCGGGCTCTGTGCTGACTGCCAGCTCAGAGCCTGGAGCCTATTTCAGAGTCTGTGTCTCCCCCTCTCTCTGACCCTCCCCTGCTCACGCTGTCTCTCTCTCCTAGAAATAAATAAAAATATTTAAAAAAAAAGAATAGATTAAAATAATAATGCTAAAACATAGAAGAGTTAAGGTAAACACACATGATCTAAAAAGCATAAAACAAATAATCAGAAATAAAATGGTCCTCTGAGAAAACGGCTCCAAAAATAGATATAAAGAAAATTGATATAAGCCTCATAGTATAAGTATTGTCACTTTGGATGTTCCCTGGAAAATTTCACATAGGATCAAATGATTAGTTCTGTGAACATTTGGTGAAACCATATGAATACTGTATGTGATTTTGCAAAAGGATTTTAAATAATTTTCTCACTAAAAAAATAGAGGATAAATTGGTCATTCCATTTTTTCTTAATTTACTTTTATAAGTTACCTCCTAAGGATTTTTTCATTTCAGTGGTTTTTCACAATTATAAAAAATATTTGGGGGATTAAAAAAGAAAAATTTTAGGGGCACCTGGATGGCTCAGTTAGTTAAGCGTCCAACTTTGGGTCAGATCATGATCTCACAGTTCATCGGTTTGAGCCCCGCTTCTGGCTCTGTGCTTACAGCTCAGAGCCTGGAGCCTGCTTCAGATTCTGTGTCTCCTTCTCTCTCTGCCCCTCCCCCACTCATGCTCTGTCTCTGTCTCTTTCAAAAATAAATATGCATTAACAAAAAATTTAAAAAAACAAAAAGATTTTAAAAGTAAAATTGACTTAAACTAAACTTCACGTTTATAAGGTATACAGTTTGATAATTTTTGACATACGAAGATATTCTTTTTCCCAGGCTTCTTTAACTCAGTACAGTTATTGATGGGCTCATCCATATTAATACGTGGGTCAACAGCCCATTCCCCTGTGCTGGGTGTATTACAGTTTGTTAATCCTATCAATAGTTATGGACACCCAGGCTGTTTCCAGTTTGGGACTATTAACAAAACTGCTCTGCACACATCTTGGTATGGACATAAACTTCCACTGGGTACATAATACATGTGGAAAGGCAGGGTCATATGATATGTATATGTTTAACTTTTTAGGGAAGTTCCAAGTGGTGTTCCAAAATGTAGTGTTTTACATTCTCACCAGCACAGTGTGAGAATTCCAGTTCTTCCACATCCTTTTCAATACCTCATAAGAGCAATTTTTTACATTTCTGCATCCTAACAGGTGCCTCGTGTTATTTTATTGTTATTTGAATTTTCATTTTCCTAAGACTAATGTCAAGCCTATTTTCATATACTTATTTCCCATCTACATATCTTCTTCAATGTGTCAATATTTTCTTTTGTGACTTTTTTCTATTTTGTTTAAAAAATACTTTTTATGCCAAAGTAATAAAATATTCTTCATATGGTTTTCCAATTATTTATACTTTTGGCTTTTACATTTATGTATCATGTATTTAAGGTAAATAACATTGACTTTTAAATAAAGCATGACACGGGTTTAATTTTATATTTGTAACAAAGATAACAAATGTTTTCCCATAAACTATCAATTTTGGGGGGCACCTGGGTGGCTCAGTCAGTTAAGCATCCAACTCTTGATTTCAGCTCAGGTTGTGATCTCACAGTTTGTGGGCTCAAGCCCCAAGTCGGGCTCCATGCTGCCAGCGCAGGGCCTGCTTGGGATTCTCTTTCTCTCCCTCTCTCTCTGCCCCTAACCCACTTGCTTACTCTCTCAAAATAAATAAATAAACATTTTGTTTTTAATTATCAAGTTTAACCTTTCTCCAGTACCCTGTAAAACCACCTCAGTCATATTAAGGGCCCGTGTTTATATGGCTGTCTCTCTGCTATCACTTCTGATCCATGGGTCTGAGTCTAAACCTAGGTTAATAACACACTGTCTAATTATTATGATTTTATAGCCAGTTGTGCAGTTTTGTGGGGAAATTTGTTATTCATGATTATTTTGGTTATTACATTTCCTATAAATCTTCAGAGTTTTTGTTAGATGTACTAAATGTAGATTATTATGTAGGTTATATCTTTATGATATTGAATATTTCATATATCAAGAAGATGTATCTGTTTAGGATTTAGTAAATATATTTCAACAAAGTTGCATTATTTTCTGCATAAAATCATATGCATTTCTTATTTAGAATCATCCATAATTATATTTTTATGCTATTTTTAAATAGTATATTTTAAATTTGAATTTATTTGATTAAAAAAGATAAAAAATATTTGATAACTGTTTATTGTTCTTGAATAAACATAAAATGATCTTTGCAGTGATTCTATTGGAAGAAATTTTCTGATTCATCTTTCTTGGTTAGTGTAGGTCTATGATCTATTTTGAGTTAATTTTTGTGAAAGATTTAAGATGTATGCCGTTAATATTATTATTATTATTATTATTATTAATCTATTCAGACTGTCCTTTTTGTGAGTTTCAGCCTGCCTTATAATTTTTGGTAAAAACTAGAAGTGATTTATTGGGTAATAGAAACTGAAATACATGAATTTTTAGTGTGATATTTTATATTAATCTGGCCAGTGATTAATGTTTTCTATAGAAATAGGCACTAGAGGATTCAGTTTACTCTACCTTCCTTATGTTTCTTTTTTCTCTCTTGTCATCTATGGGTTTCTGAAAGAACTCCTTCTTAAATAGACAGTATGTATCTTCAAGTTCTTTTAGTTGTAATTAACAATTTTTTATCCTGAGGCTCTGTTAATGTTACACTGATGCTTTGGGGATGGGAAACATTCAATAATCTTATGATTAAATCTCAGCTTTTAGGAAACCTGAGTCCCTGGGATATAACCTACCTGAATGTTTCTTAGCCTTGTTTTTCCTCCCATTGGATGAGAGTGAAAAACAGATTCTTTTATAATAAAGAATAATCTGAGTGTATTTCAACATGCCTACTTTCCACCTGCAATACAGAGGATTTTTTTCTGATCTTCACCATGAGAACTTGGCTGGGAACAGCATAGTATTCTGGGGGAACTCCAAAGACTGAGCCTCTTGGAGTTTAGTCTACACTTGGCCTCCAGCAATTCATCAAAATGACCCTTTAAATGATCCTAACAATTACTAGCTCTAGGGGATTTTGCTTCAGGTAAGCAGATCTCGACTATCATTTTCTGTATTTGCCTATGCCTCAAGATTTTGGATTAGTGCTTTTCCCAGTGACCTTAAATCTCAACTGTAATCTAAGAAAAGTTGTTGGTTTTCCATTCATTTAGCTTTTTTCTTGTTAAAATGAGAATTACTACTTCCAGGCTCTTTACATATCAGAGCTGAAGCCAGGTATTTTTGTTTTTGTTGTTGTTGTTGTTGTTTTACGCTTATTTATTTTTGAGAGACAGAGACAGAGCATAAGTGGGGAAGGGGCACAGAGAGAAGGAGACACAGAATCCGAAGCAGGTTCTAGGCTCTGAGCTGTCAGCACAGAGTCTGACGCGGGGCTAGAACTCATGAACCATGAGATCATGACCTGAGCCGACATCAAACACTTAACCGATCAAGCCACCCAGGTGCCCCTGAAAGCAATTCTTCTGGTATGTTTTTATTTATTAAATATGTCACACTGAATATTTACATTTTTTCTTTTATAATCAATTATGAGACATTAAGTGCATCTACCATCTCACTTATTCATATCATGTATGCTTGGAGACATGTGACCTTGTATTCATTCACTCAAAAATTCTAACACAGCTTTAAATATGTGAGGAGCATGAAGATGAAGAGAGTTATTACCTTATAATACCATAGGAAGATGTGTGAATTATTTATGTTACCATAAAATTGTCATCTTAAATCTTTCAGATAAATGGATTCCATCTCATTTTGGAAACAATAGAAATAGTAATCTATTTAGCTGCACAAATGGACAGAAATAATTCTTTATTCAAGAGAAAAATATTTTTACAGCATTCTTATTCTGATCAAGTAAATTGCCTTTTATAATAATGGAAATAACACCACTTTAAATATTAGATCACATTTGGGGGATGGGCATGGAGGAGGGCACTTTGGGGATGAGCACTGAGTGTTATGTGGAAACTAATTTGACAATAAACTATTTGTAAAAAAAAAAAAAATATTAGATCACATTTTCATTAATTTATTTTCAGGTTATTATTATGGCAGAAGCTCTCAAAATTTCATGACATTTAATATGATTTGGAATCACCCAAGGAACATGCAAAAATGCACATTCCTGCTAAAACATAGAAACATAATTATTATAAAATCCTTCAATGTGAAATTAAAAAACAATATTTATGAGTATTGTTGAAGTAAAATGAATTCAGAATCTAAAATGTACAATCAAAGTTGGTAGATGTATTCATGTGTAAATCTAAGCTCCCCAAAATATGAAAACTGATAAAAGACATAGTAACCATCTAGAGATCCCAGATTTGCCAGAAGAATGAAATGTGATAATAGCAAGAAAATTTATTGTTGAAATAAATACTACATTAAGTAAGTGACTGTTATCATACTCAATTCTTAATACTATTATATCCATAGAAAGAGTCAGAAGAGAGATAGAGAAGGGAAGAAAGAAGAAGAAAAAAATTTAAGAGTGAGCTTAGGAATTTTACCTCTTTTCTAACAACCATCATGATTTGAACTGAATTCCTCATCACAGAAATATATCATTGTAATGTCATGTATTGTTTCCCAGATGATTTCAGTTCAAAATCCAAAGATATAGCTTATCCAGGATAAAAA